ATATATGAAGAATTTTTACAAATTATTAAAAATAAATACTGATCCATTTGATCCAGCAATCCTATTACTGGCATCTACCCAAGAGAACAAAAGACACTCCTATAAAAATGACACCTGCACTCAAATGTTTATAGCAGCACAATCATAATGCAAAGATGAGGAAACAATCCAAGTGCCCATCAATACATGAGGATTAATAAAAGTGTGGTATATGTACCATGGGTACTATTTAGCTATCACAACAGTGATACAGCGCCTCTTGTATTTCCTAGATAGAGCTGAGCACATTCTACTAAGTGAAGTATTCCCAAGAATGGCAAAATAAGTGGCCGGACGCAGTGGCTCACGCCTATAATCCTAGCTCTCTGGGAGGCCGAGGCGGCAGAGTTGCTGAGGTCAGGAGTTCCAAACCAGCCTGAGCAAGAGCGAGACCCCGTCTCCTACTAAAAATAGAAAGAAATTAATTGAACCAACTATATATATAGAAAATGGCCCAGATGATGCGCATGCCTGTAGTCACAGCTACTTGGAGCTGAGGCAGGAGGATCACTTGAGCCCAGGAGTTTGAGGTTGCTATGAACTAGGCTGACGCCACGGCACTCACTCTAGCCTGGGCAACATAGTGAGACTCTGTCTCAAAAAAAAAAACGAAAGAAAGAAAGAAAGAAAAAGAAGCACCACATGTTCTCACCAGCAAATTGGTATTAATTGATCAATACCTAAGTGGATATACAGGAATAACACTTATCAGGCGTCCGGCAGACAGGAGTGGGGAGGAAGGGATGGGTATATACATACATAATGAGTGTGATGTGCAACATCTGAGGGATGGACATGCTTAGAGCTTTGACTCTGGGGGGGAAAAGGGAGACAGGCAACATATGTAATGTAAACATTTGTACCCCCATAATATGCTGAAATAAAAAATAAAAAATAAAATAAAAAAATAAAATAAATACTGATAACCTAATAGAGGCACTTCACAAAAGAGGATATCCTAATACACAATAAACATATGTGAAGGCGTTCAATGAGTACTTATCACAAAACACAAGACAAATCTCAATGCAATACTACTATGTCCCCACCAGAATAGCAAAAATGCAAAAAGATAGATAACAAGTGTAGACAGAAAGTGACATTTCTGGAATGTTCATTTACTGCCATTGGGAGTATAAACAGGTATGATCACTTTGATAAAATGGTATCTGTATACATAAGCATAGCCTATAACCCAGGAATCCCTCTCCTACATATTGTACCGACAGAAATGAATAAACGTTCCCCAAAAAGCATACAGCAAAATCTTCACAATAGTGCAATTCACTAAAAAACTGAAAATAACCTAAATTCCCAATACAATAGGATAAAATAAGTTATAATACATACATATAAAATACATATTCAAACAAAGGACTATGATATAGTAAGAATGAACAAACTACAACTGACAAATGCATAATATTGATTAAAAGAAGCCAGACATAAAATATGTCTATGATTCCATTTAGATAGAATTCAAAAACAGATAAAACTAATCTACAGTAAAAGCAATCAACAGTGGTTGCAGGGTGAGACAATGACTGAAAGGAACAGGAAGGGAACAATTTGGAGTGATATGATACTCTATTAATATATCTTAAGCTGGATGATTGTCAAGCATATACATTTATCAAAACTGCCTGGGCTATCTGCAGAAGATTTGTGCATTTTATTGTACATAAATTATACCTCAGCAAAATACTGACAGCATTTCAACAAATAAATAGCTAGGATTCTAGACAAGTGTTATGCAAAGTAGTCCATCTAGAACTATTTGTTGGGGTCCTTGACATGATTAGGAGTTGGTACCAGAATGTACAGCAACATACTGTTTCTTTCAAAGAGAAAGTCTACCTATAAAAACTTCAGGTGAACTAAATAGTGGGTTGATTTCGACTGTATTAGAAGTGACACAGTTGACATACATACTAGTGAAAGCTCCTTTTTGTGACCTGGACTGAAATGAGCATCATTGTAGAGATCAAGAAAAGTGATAACACGCTACAGTTCTTTTGGGGATGAGTTATAGATACTAAATTTAAGCTACTTTATAAAGGGGTAGCCTTACAAAAAATAACAGGAAAATATCTAATCCCACAATTTTAAGATCAATCATATGAATTCTCTCAATAACAGGCACCCTGCAGGAATTCTGTTTTGCACAACTTCCAAAGAGAGCTGAACAGATGGAAAAGAGATGTAAATCTATTTCTTTTAAATTTGCATTTGAGGCCGGGCGCGGTGGCTCACGCCTGTAATCCTAGCACTCTGGGAGGCCGAGGCGGGTGGATTGCTCGAGGTCAGGAGTTTGAAACCAGCCTGAGCAAGAGCAAGACCCCCGTCTCTACTATAAATAGAAAGAAATTAATTGGCCAACTAGTACATATAGAAAAAATTAGCCGGGCATGGGGGTGCATGCCTGTAGTCCCAGCTACTCGGGAGGCTGAGGCAGGAGGATCGCTCGAGCCCAGGAGTTTGAGGTTGCTGTGAGCTAGGCTGACGCCATGGCACTCACTCTAGCCTGGGCAACAAAGCGAGACTCTGTCTCAAAAAAAAAAAAATATGCTTTTGAGAATTTGCTTTTTACAGAGTTCCTGGCTGAACAGCAGTGGTGCGAGCTTCAGGCCTCAGCCTTATCTCAAGGGCAGAGTCACATCTCTAACCATAAAGCCTGCCTCCAAGAAAAGGCAGGGGGCCAACTCTTGGACTTTGACATCCTGCTGCATCTGCTACAGAGCAGATTCAGCAATACCCTGTTAATTTGGCTACAGTCATAAATCTTTTTCACCCCCTAAATAAAAATCCTGAGTACCTTATTCTCTATGCCAACACTATCTCCCTCTCTTTCACTGTGTTGGCCCTTTTTCCTGTGTGGAAAAAGTAAAATAAACTTTTTCTTGTTTCTATCCTAATTTTTGTCTGGAGAAATCTTTCTCAAAACCCACCTGCTCTAGCTCACACCCTAACACTTTAAGGAAAAGAAGAAACAGAAAAAGCAAGACAAGCTAAATAAAGACGGTTTAAGATGGCAGAGTAAAGTCCAAGTGTACCAATAAATGCAAACATAAAAGAACTAAACCCACTGGTTAAGAGAAAAAGACAAATTGATATTTTTTTAAATAATAAACTATTTGCTATGTATCAATAAGGTTGATAGTAAAAGGAGGGACAAAATAAAAATAAAATCAGTAAGATATACTACTATGTGAGGGGGGAAGTGGTCTAAAGATAAAAAGCATAACTAGGGATAGAGAAGATCACTAAATAACGACCAAAGTCCAATTCACCAAAAAACAATTCTAAACAGGTACACAACAAAATAAGCTTAAAATTTACAAAGCAAAATATTCACAGAACTTCAGAGCAAAAATGGTAAACCCAGTATCACACCAAGAGATCTCAACATACTCTTCTCAACTTTTGTCATCAATCCTCCTTCCTTTTCTCAGACTGTCTTCCCTTTAAATAAGAAGAGAAAGACACTAAGACATCATCTTGTTTCAAAGCACAGAATGAACTTTGATGCCTTCCCATCACACATACATGATCAAGGATGAAACTCATGGATCTTAAGGACTAACAGTCAATCAGATACACTCTCTGAACTCTATTAGAGAGAAGGCTACTTTGTCATCAGTCGCAGGAACAATGAACTGAAAACGGTGAACATCTAAAAAAATGTCAAGTAATATGCGGCTTATTGCGCCATCTGTTGGACACCATGTTAATTTGCACTTCAATCATACTCACTCTAAAAATCCTAGTAAGAAAGCACATAAGGCCCTAAACTGCAATCTTTTCTTAACTTCCATTATCTAAGGAGATGAGATGCTCTCACCAAATTAAATGAGTGCACTCTCTACGTTTATGCAACTTAAGCTTCTCGTAACAATGTCTATTGTTTTTAGGTCACAGGTTTATATGAGTATAGAAAATTATATTACCTGAAATCCACTTGGAATTTAATATGTCCACAAAGACTGCCAATTTTCCCATACAACTATTGAATAATATTCTATATACTGAATACTCACAATGAGTCACTTTAAACACCCCAGTTACACTTTACTCATATGATATGTTATCCACATTATTTGCAATGTTTCTTAAAATACACACATATAAATGCACAGTAGGTCTTCTAGCACTTACCTATACCTGGTTCCCTCACCTTCCAGGCACACAGGAAGATTACACTTCCTGACCCCTTCGTACTAACTTATGTGGGAGCATATAATTAGTTCACGTCAACAGATTGTGACTGAAAGCCCCATGTGCCACTTGCAGCCCAACACAAGTAATAGCATGCGTGAGATCCCCTGGCACTCTCTTTCTCTCTACCACAGTGACAAGAAGGGGCTTCAAAAGATGGTCAAGCCCCAAAATCAAAGCTGCTAATATCACTAAAGACAGTTGTCCCTGAGAGCTGTCCAGACCTTCAACAGACTTTCTAACAGTAAAAAATAAAGTTTTACTGTGTTAAGCCACTAAGAGTTGGAACTTCGATGCTACCTCAACATAGCCTAGCCCAGGGTCTCTCAACAGTGGCAATACTCCCATCTTAGGCTGGATAATTCTTCGGTGTGGGCCTGTCCTGTGCATTATACAATGTTAAGCAGCATCCTTGGCCTCTATCCACTAGATGCCAAGTACTGTTTGTCAATGTGAAAATCAAAAATCTCTAGATGTTGCCCTCTTCCCCCCATCTTTGAGAACCACTGGCATAGCTTAAACTGACCAATATAGTATATACATATGTATGTATGTATGATGAATATATGTGTGTGTATATATATATGTGTGAGTATATTTAAGTCAATTGTTACATATTCCCCATGATTTATTATACACTAGGATCAGATATTTTATAAGCCTTTAACAAATATGAATTCCTAATAAGTTAATTAACTAATAAGGTCTCTCTATAGTAATGTAAACAAATATAAATTCATACATACTATGCTGTTCATTTCGGAAGACTCATAGCTCCCAACCGGATGGACATTTCCAATGGGTTCCAAGCCCTCTTCATCCCACATGTATGTTCCATCAGAGCTATCAGATGGAGAGAGTTCAAATGAAGAACCAGCTCTGTAATCTGTATCTGGTGAAATCAAGTTATTCCCAGAAGTATGTTTTGTACATTCACTCCTGTCTTCAATTTATTTAAAAAGAGAGAGAGAGAAAAGTTATTAATTCACAAAAATATAATTATTTCTCATGTTCTAAAAATATAAGTCCTAATAATTTGACATATTATAGAAAAAAAGTTGGCCTAATAAAGCATTCATAACTACCATTTCCTGTATCCTAAACAATAAAAAAAAATCAACAGGAAAATATTAAAAATAACTTGATGAAATACACAAAAAAAATTCATTTAGCCATCTTTTACTTTTGCAAAATTTCTAAAACTATAAATAAAGCCTCATGTTCCTTTAATATTTCACAAGATATTTACTTTTAACCACTGGCCAAGAAACTCCTTCTTCTGCGTATATTACTTAACCTCATAGTTGACTCCATACAAGGAAAAAAACATAGGCAATCACTTTTAGAAGACCCACAAACAATCAAGATTTTATATGTGTATCTCTAGGCATGACCTTGATTAAACCATGTGCCTATATCCAATCTCTTCAGTTTGTTCTTTTTTCAGGTATATGAGCACACAATACATTTTCTGCAGCATTTAGTGCCAGGATAACCAAATATAAGAGGAAATGTTTAACAGGTGCTATCACATTTTCTTCAATTAAAAAAATAAATAAATAAGGCTCCTCTGGAAGTATAACTATAAAAAGGAAAATCTGTCCTTGCTAAACAAGGAAAACTTCCTAGGATAAAAATCTATTAGATTAAACATAACCTATATTATCTCATTTATCCTTTGGTACAGCTTTACCCTTAATACATAGTAATGAAATGCTACCCTGAGGGAAGAGATGGTTTGTTTATTAGTATGCCACTGGCTGGGGGTAATGGGGGAAAAATCATTTGGAAGCACTGTCTATACTAAGGAGGAACAGGCTTGCGTATGATAGCCAAATAAGAGCAAAGATAAGAATAGTTTTATTAAAGTTGTTTTACAGGCCAGTGCGGTGGCTCACGCCTATAATCCTAGCACTCTGGGAGACCAAGGCAGGTGGATCGCTCAAGGTCAAGAGTTTGAAACCAGCCTGAGCAAGAGCGAGACCCCGTCTCTAATTGGCCAACTAAAATATATATAAAAAAACAATTAACTGGGCATGGTGGCACATGCCTGTAGTCCCAGCTACTCAGGAGGCTGAGGCAGAAGGATGGCTTGAGCCCAGGAGTTTGAGGTTGCTGTGAATTAGGCTGACGCCACGGCACTCTAGCCTGGGGAACAGAGTGAGATTCTGTCTCAAAAAATAAACAAATAAATAAAGTTGTTTTACATATGGTGAAAAATAGAATAGGAAGCAACAGTCATAGGAAGATAAATGCTGCCCCACTCCAATTTAATCTAGATTCATCCTTCTGTGAAATTGATAGTATCTTGGAATTTATCTGAAGATAATTCTGAATATAAGTTCAGTTATATTTCTAGAAGAAAGCAAATAAACTTAAGGATATCAATATTTACCAGAGACACTTATATCTATCCATTCATCAGTTTTACTGAAGGATTTTTCATTTTCCTTGGAGGAATCAAATGTATCCTGTGGTGGTACATTTTCATGTTTTTCTTCTTTGAGTGAAATTTCCTCTGGAGTTATTCTTGTTCTGTTGGAGTCTTCTATATCTATAAAATCATCACTAAAGTCTTCACTTAAATCATTCTTATCAGAAGATGACAAAGACGACAAAGAAATGTCATCCACATCATCACTCAAGTATCTAATTTTAACATCATGTTTTGCGGTCTGGTCATTTTCTGTTCTATAACTTTCATTTTCAGTTAGTTTTTGGTCCTTACTAGTAGCTCTCTCGTTAGCCAAAACTGTAGCATCTTCCTCTATACATGCATCAGCAGGTGAGTTTTTATTTCCATCCACTGTGATAGTCCCAGAAAATGGAGGTCGGCTAGATTTCAGTAGAGAAGAATGAACCATCCTATAACCTAAAGTGGAAGTTACAGCTGGGCCGTTTGGTAAAGCCAATTTCTTTCCACCAGCAGCATAAGGCCTGTTAAATCCATACCCCAAATGTTCATTCCCATTGAGTACTTCTGACTGCCGGGAATTTCTTGTTAGCATACTTGACCGTAGAGGCACTCTAATGGATAGCTGTTGGTTCTGATAAGGCTTTGTAAGCTCTACAGCTCTATTGAAGGAATGTGATCTGGTTATAGATGAAGGTGGAAGGAATGAATTCTGAATGGAATGTGAAAAACTTTGTGACCTTACCATTTTTTCACAAGTAATAGATTTAATATTATCTGGGGACTGTGCTAAGCTTTCTCCAGAACTGCTTCTGGTGGCACAGGAGTTTGCTCTTGGCCTTTGTATGCTACCAGCCGATCGGTTTCCATAAAATCCATTCAACTGTGATTTTGGAGCACTGACTGAAGAATATGAAGTCCTTCCTAATAATGAGCCTTTGGTGAATTTACCCAAATTAGATGGTCCAGAAAAAGACTTTTGGTTTAACTCCTCTGTTGATGATACAAACATAGTGGATGGCTTTGCTAACTTTGATGTGAGTAAAGAAACACTTTTCAAACCTCCCTTTATGCCATTTTTATCAAACATTCCTTGAGTAGGAGCATGTTTTTCAGGATCAATTAATTTATCATGTGAATTCTGAGTACTGCAGGGCTCTTCAGCACCTTGTGCATTAAGTTGGTATTTATTTGCTTTTCTCCAATTAAATGAATGGGATGATGGACAATCAGAGCCATTATTTTTGATGTAACTTTTGACATTACTATTCTTAGAAGTTCCTAATAAATTAACAGGTGTCCCATTTGGCATTGGCTGCAATGTACTTCTTACAGATTTTGTTCCATACTTTGGCAACTTGGAACCCAAAAATGTCTTGATTTGTGTTTTTTCTTCCATGAGCTATAAGGTACATTTGTTCTTAAAATTTGACAGAATCTAAGGAGAAAAGAAAAAGTAGATTAAACATTCCTAAATAAGGATAATTCCATGAATTATTACATAATAAGTATATAAATACTATATACCTATAGTATTATACTATAATATACTATACTATAATTACACACAGAAAGGCCCAAAAGCTACTTATGATTTCTACAGAACTCTCAATAAATACTAAATGTCCTAATTAAATTAACAACTTCATGCTGGAAGAAAATAAAGAACATTTTTATAAACAGTTGTATAAACTTGGGCTATGGATGATGATAGCAAAATCCAGAAATAATAAAATTAGACTACCAAATCTGACTTATAAAAAAATAATACTTTTATAATATATCTTCCAATTTCCAATTAAAATAACTTTTTCACTTTGGCTAATATTCTTTCCTTTAAAATTAAGAACATATAACTTTTTTTAAATGTACATCATCTTATAAAAACTGGAATACATTTTAAAAGCTTTAATCACTAATGTCATAGGAAGAATGTAGGCCAAGAACACAGTAGTAACAAAAAAGTTCTTTTGGAATTAAGGGTTGATATAAGTTGTCATTTTAAGCAACTATCTATCTCAAAAGAATTTCCATCCAGTGACACTAAAGTTAGTGCCAGATATGCATGAAATAACATTTTTTCTTTTTTACTTTCTCTTAATATTGTTCTCTGATATGGTATTATCATTGAAATATAATTGGTGTTTGCAATTAAAAAGATATATTTTGGGGGGAAAAAGTTAGCTTCAGGGTGAAAAGTATAAAGATTTAATAAAGTCAATTCATCCATTAATCTCAATCCTTTAAATTTATTTTAAAGATAATATAAAACTACAAATACGAAATGGTTCAATGCCCACAAAAGAGCATAAAACTAGAAAAAACTAGTGTCCTCTCTTTGAGTAATTGTTTAATAATTATAACATGTCACATGATGAGATTATAAAGATGAAATGGCAATATTAAAATGTTCTAATATGAAAAGAAATATAATATGGTCACTATATGCTCACTGTAATTATATAAAAATTCTATAAAAACACAAACAAGGGCAAAATGCAAATTTTAAAAATGCACACCTTAGGGTCACTAATTTTTTACAGACACTTTTATAGATATTTTATAGACATTTTTTCATATGACACTGCTTCTAATTTGACAAATCTTGTTAATTAAAAAAATTATTCCAAGTCAACCCTAGCCTAAGAATTAGAGTATAAGTATTATTATGTCAAAAGTAAATGTTTACTATGTTTGACATATTATTATGTCAATTATATTAATATGTTTGACATATTATTATGTCAAAAGTAATGTTTACAAATCATATGCACTTTCATAAAGATGGTGGGGTGAAAGAGAATTAAAGAACGTCCTGTCACCACCAACTAATAAATGGGGCAGAATCTATATACATATATGTGTGTCATTTTTTAGCCAAAAGCCCACCAGCTGCAGTCAAACAAGAAACAGTTTAAACTAAGAGCCTATAATCTTTAATAAGCAGTGTGGACAGTATGATATAGTATGGCTGCTAGCCTGATTACACTGCCTGGAAGCAGTATTAGGTGAGCTAATAAACATCAAAGAAGTTGAAAATTTTAATAAACGTCCTCCAATTTGGATAGATAGATTCGATTTGGGCCAAGTGTAGTGGCTCACGCCTATAATCCCAGCACTTTGGGAGGCCAAGGTGGGAGGATCACATGAGACCAGGAGTTTTAAGACCAGCCTGAGCAACACAGTGAGAACTCTACAAAAAATAAACAAAATAGCTAGGTGCAGTGGCCCACGCCTATAGCCCCAGCTACTCAAGAGGCTGAGGCAGGAGGATTGCTTGAGCCCAGGAGTTGGAGGCTGCAATGAGCTATGATCATACCACTGCATATAGCTAGGCAACAGAGCAAGATCCTGTCTCTTGAGAGGGGAAAAAAGCCTCTTTCTCACCCTTGCTTCCACCAAGATGACAAGGAAAAGAAGGAACAACCAAAAAAAAAAAAAAAAGAGCCAAAAAGTGACACAGCTACATGCAGCCTACTATGCCTGATGTGTGCCTAAGGACAAAGACATTAAGTTCATCATTCAAAACACAGTGGAGGCCACAGCTGTCAGGACCATTTCTGAACCCGGTGTGTCTTCAACGCCAATGTGCTTCGCTGTATGTGACTTACTGTGTGAGTTGTGCCATTCACAGCAAGGTTAGGAATCGGTCTCAGGAAGCCTGCAAGGACCAAATACTCTCACCCTAACTGACCTGCAGGTGGTGCCCACAACCTCCCACAAAGCCCACATAAAGAGCTGAGTCCTTGAGGACTGAAGAAAAACTATCCTTTGGGGGGCGGAAAAAAAGAAGAAGAAGAGTTCTCTCACCAATACCATCTTATATCCCTCAACTACAGAGAAGCAGACAGAGAACAAAATACACTTATCAAAAGGGGTACTGAGGGAGCACAGTAAAATGAAGAGATAAAGCACAGCTAAGGCAGAAAAGACCTTAAAGGGAATCACTGCATTATATATACAGGGCAAAGGCAAAGTCTTTACCCAGCTATCCAAATTAAGCCTGAGCAAGATAAAAATAGCCACACAACTGTGCAAATAGTTTTTGATAACAGAGAACAACCTAATAAGAACATACATCTAATAAAACAAAAACTCAAAGATGAAAAGACAAAACAGGTAAATTAAAAGAAAGGTTACAGAATTAAGAAAACCAAATTAAGAACAATGAATCTGAACAAAAAACAAGAAAAAAAACTAAAGACAGGAAATCAAACTAATGGCAAGGGAGGAAAATCTTAAGATAATAAGAATATTGAGGAGAAAAAGAGACAAAGAAATCAAAGCAATTAGATAGAAAATGTAGGACAAAGATTGAACAGAGAGATAATTAGTATCCCTGAAGCATAATGAGTGGAAGAGAAAAAGCAGGGAGATACAATAGAAAATATCCCTAAAATAAAGGAGAAAAAAATCTATAGAAGGAAAACATACCAAATCCCAGATCTAAATACATGTCCTAGTGAAGTTAATGAAATACCAAGGATAAAGAAATAATTCACCAGAAATGCAGGTTGAAAGGGGAGCAATTCACCTTGTAAAGAAGATTTTAAAACTAGGAATATGCAAAAGAAATTATTGGATCCTTCCAAAGAAATGCTGGAACATTTCTGGGGATAACTTATTCCTACAGTAATCACATTAATTTCACCATTTAAATTTACTCTAAATTCACCATTTCCGTTCCACAATTCTAGTTCTTATGCTCATCAATTCTTTCTGTACTACCAAGACTTCCTACATTATCTCAAGACTCCAATATCATTTCTATTCAAATTGTCAACAGTTATCCTCTTAAAACACAGACATGATCATGTCATTCCACTGACTAAAAACCATGTGTGGGCCTAGGAACAACAAAATAAAACCCAAAATTTATTATACAGGGAGCAAGTTTCTCTATTTGGTTCTACCCTATCTTTACTATATATTCAGGCCAAGATGCATTATTTGTCATTTCCCAAAATCTATCCTCTACTTTCTACCTTCTATACCCTTGATAAAGTAATAAAAACTACCTTGAAGACCCTACTTTCCAAAGTCCAAAATCACTACTAGATTCACAAACTTTTCCAGTTATAATTAATCTTGCATTCTTCTCTATTCCCTTCACACCAATAATACAGCCGAGTCTGTCTTCTAATTGTATGCATCCCTATTTGACCCTTAAAAAAGTAAACCTATTGAGAGCATAAACTGAGTCCTATGTACTATACTTTTAGCCCTACTATAGGACCACAAATTTGATAGTCTCTTAACTTCCAAGTAAATACATAATTTCTCAATGCAAATTAATTTAACAAATAGTAACTTAAGACTAAAAAACAACTTTGTTTTGTGAACCTGTGATGGACTGGTTGCCTTGAGCAATGAGTTAGTTTAAAAGGATTCTGAGGTCAAAATCTTGTCTCTGGGCCAGGCGTGGTGGCTCACGCCTGTAATCCTAACACTCTGGGAGGCCGAAGCAGGTGGATGGCTCAAGGTCAGGAGTTTGAAACCAGCCTGAGCAAGAGCGAGACCCTGTCTCTACTAAAAAAATAGAAAGAAATTAACTGGCCAACTAAAAATATATAGAAAAAATTAGCCAGGTATGGTGGCGAATGCCTGTAGTCCCAGCTACTCGGGAGGCAGAGGCAGAAGGATTACTTGAGCCCAGGAGTTTGAGGTTGCTGTGAGCTAGGCTGATGCCATGGCACTCTCGCCTGGGCAACAGAGTAAGACTCTGTCTCAAAAAAAAAAATCTTGTCTCTGAAGATGTGTCATGATGAAGCAGCAATGTATGCCACAAGCAGAAAAAGGGACGGTGGCAATATCCATGCCACATAACTGTCTTCTCCATTTTTGATAATGCTCTTTACCACAAAACATACTCCCATGCCTACAAACACTTTCAGAATAGATATAAGAAAACTGGTAATGATACTACATATTAAGGGTCATTTTGCAAATCAATAAGTAACACATATTTAATATTTTATCCTCCAGTGACTCAGTCTGTAAGTCAGAAAGGCTTTAACATTTCCTTGCCTGTCACAAGTAGACTGAGTAGAGAACATTCTATTCTTTCACTTCTCCACTTTCCTAAGATGAGGATAATACATGTTATCTCCCAAGAGCATATTAAGTATTAATATTAACAACTTAGAGCCACAAGATGAAACCAAAAGACAGACACACTGTTACTATAATACAAAATGTCCAGGATTCTACCACTTAGGGGGGAAAACAATGTTAGAACCTGAATGCACTATTTCCTATTGAGAATATTTATTGATTTCTAAATCTACAAATTATCACAACACAAATGACATCAATCATCTTGAAGTGTGATCTTAAGACTAAACTAGTCTGATGGCTCAACTGTTACATTCCCGTATCTGTTTATGTTATGAATATTGCCACTTCATTGTTGATGAGCTACCTTCTGTCTTTAAACAT